CACTGAGAGATGAAATCAACATAGACATAAGAGCCTGATCATGCCGAAACCACGTGGCATGTTCGGGATTGGGAGTCGGAAGGGCGCCGACGACGACGGGAAGAAACTGCGCCGGCCTCGAGTACTAACCATCAACATACGACATGAGACCGTGTGATACGCCATTGATGGGCATTCATCTTGTAGCAAGAATAATATATATTACCTTATATATGTAATTAGGAAAACAATTAGCATTTATGTGTAATTGGTAATTAGGAGAATAATTAGTCATTCCATTATTATAATTACATTATTTTAGGAAGTGAGATAGTATATATAGGGTATTCTATGTAATGTTAAAGGTATGCAAAAATGAATTATATTGAAGAGTTCTTCATCATTTTCTTCTGTTATATTGTTTTTCTTTTGGAGTTATCGTAACTCGAATACGGATTGGAGCCAGAAGCCTGCTCGAAAGGTTTCTTCGTTGCGTACTAAGTTTCAGTACGTAACATTGGTGCTTTCATTGAGAAACCTACTTAGTACGCAACGGAAGAAACCTTTCGAGCAAGCTTCTGGCTCCAATCCGTATTCGAGTTACGGTAACTCCAAAAGAAAAACAATATAACAGAAGAAAATGATGAAGAACTCTTCAATATAATTCATTTTTGCATACCTTTAACATTACATAGAATACCCTATATATACTATCTCACTTCCTAAAATAATGTAATTATAATAATGGAATGACTAATTATTCTCCTAATTACCAATTACACATAAATGCTAATTGTTTTCCTAATTACATATATAAGGTAATATATATTATTCTTGCTACAAGATGAATGCCCATCAATGGCGTATCACTCTTTGCCTCTTCAAAAATCACCTTGTCCTCAAGGTGGAAGTATAAGTGGTTCGTCTCTTGAGTTCTACCCAACACAAATATTCAACCCAAATTTTTGGTTGAAAAATGTTAGGAAGATTGTACATCAGGTACAAGGCTCGACCGAACCAATACCATTGCAATATAGAGACAAATCAGAATTCCTCCTTGTGTAACCCGGTAACAAAATTCATTTTCTCTTGCAGTGTGTTCTCTTGGATATAAACTGGGTTTTTCATGAGGTAGATTTCTTTTGTAGGAGAAACTAGTAGTACATAAATCTTTTTTGGTGCACTTTCATCCTCCTTAGTAGAACTTAAACTTGTACAATTCTTCATAATCGGCATTGGTTCTTCAACTGTCAATGGGATATTAGGAGGGGGTGGTGGTGGCTTGTCTAATATGTGTAAATTTTTCTCCTTGAGATCATGAACACTTTTATTATCAACCACATTCATTGACACCTCAAATTGTAGTTGATCTTTTGGCATTGTTTCCTTGAGGATATCTACATGCTTTCTTGGACCATCTAGTTGAATTTGATCTTTTTCCAATTTATGAAGACTGTTGTGAGACGAATAATTGCTAGTGACATGGTTAATCTCCTCAATTGATACAATCAAACTTTGCAATGTTTGATTAATGGTTTGGAGTTGGAGATTCAAATTATTGGTGTGGATAATTTGATTATGGACGAAAACTGAGAGATTTGTTACTAACCGATTTGTCATGATGGTATGTAAAAAATCAATAAGTTGATTACAAGAATTGTGATGAAAAAAAAAAGATAATGATAAAGAAAAAATACGAATAAGGAAAAATTTTGTGGTACTTTTTTTTTTTTTTTGTTGATTTGGTTGAGAACTTTTTCTTCTTTTTTTTTTTTTTGGAATTTTCTAAGGGATGTTGCCAAAAACTGAAAACAAGAACAAAAATAAAATAAAAAGATAGAGAATACTCTCACAAATAGACTCAATGAAAGCACCAATGTTACGTACTGAAACTTAGTACGCAACGGAAGCAACCTTTCGAGCAGGCTTCTGGCTCCAATCCGTATTCGAGTTACGGTAACTCCAAAAGAAAAACAATATAACAGAAGAAAATGATGAAGAACTCTTCAATATAATTCATTTTTGCATACCTTTAACATTACATAGAATACCCTATATATACTATCTCACTCCCTAAAATAATGTAATTATAATAATGGAATGACTAATTATTCTCCTAATTACCAATTACACATAAATGTTAATTGTTTTCCTAATTACATATATAAGGTAATATATATTATTCTTACTACAAGATGAATGCCCATCAATGGCGTATCACCGTGTCCGTCCAGAAATGGGACGACTTGAGTTCTCCAAAACATATAGTTTTTGTTTGTAAGGATAATATTGACAAAGTGATGCGCAGTAGAAAGCAAAGAAACCGTAGGGCTAGCGGAATATGTGATACCGGCATCGGAAACGGTCCGTTCAGAGGAATTAACAGACCCGTCAGCCATTGCAAATAAAGGAAAAAACCCTAGTTTAACTAATACCAAATGAGAACTGTATGAAACTGTATATTATGAACCGTAATTACAATGAACATGTAAGGGGAATATGTATATAAGAGGAATCACAGGGAGACTAGAATAGGAAGTCATACTATGACTCAAATATAAGAATGTTAATACTAGTCCTAATAACATACACATAATAATATGATAAAAGTTAGAGTATTCGAGTATAATAAATATGAAAACAGTTCCAAGAATTGTGAAAAAAGGAAAATGCTTGGTCTTCTCTCAATTCAAATAGTATATATTGGGAACAAAGAAACAAGAAGCTGCTGCTTATTATGTAACCTCTGAACGTGCATACCAATAACATATTTAAGGAGCAAATTACCAAAATGGTCCCTCGACTATGTCGATTTCAACAATTTAGTCCTACTCATTTTGATTTCTCTAATCAAATTCTCCGACTATTAAAATTTTAACCATTTTAGTCCAGGGTGACTTGGATGGCATATTTTGAAGGATATTATTGGAAGTTCCACTGTATTAGTCGTTGGTCCTTCGTTCACTGTGACCGGCTATTTGTTCGTTCTGGTGTGTGTTATGCCGGAAAAGGGAAGAAGACTGCAACCCATTCGCCGGAGCCGTCGGTTTCTCGCACTGGAAGGTAAAATGCTATTGAAGATTTGGTGGCCAACTGGAAGGTAAAATGCAAACCGGAGGCCCTTTTTAATGGTCATGTTCGCTTTTGGTTTGTGAAGGAAGCTGACAAGGATGCCATCCCCTCCGGTGATCCTTACGCTCTTTTTGGTAAGCGGCTATTCCTCCGTCTCCCGCCGGCGAACTGCCTGGGTTACGAGGAGTACAAATTCCTGCCTGTTTGGGTCTGACTACCTGGGTTACCGAAGGTCTGTTGGCATGAGAATGCTCTTGGAATCATCGCGTCCTGCTTTGGTGAACCTCTGTTTCGTGACAGGGTGACGAAGGAGATGAAGATGATGGCGTACGCACGCATCTTAGTGGACGTTGACTGCTCGGTTGACCAACCGAAGCACATTCCGGTTCTGCTCCCTCAATATTTTAAGAACTGTTGCCGTAAGTTTTCTTGATTAGTTCGACGATGGCCATCACTCATCATTAAACTTTTCAACCTATTTACAAATAAATTACGTCCAGATTCCAGAAGGATATATAGATCAATTTATCTAAAATTTGTGCCGGATTAATTTCTTGTTTTCGCCGGGGACGGATGGTGGAAAGAGGTGCCACACCGCTCATGCCGCCGTCGGCGGCGGACCCAGTTGGATCGGAGAAGTGGGTGGTTATGGTACATACGGATGTTGTTTTAGTGTGTCTTATCTGTGGGTTCTTGGTAATGGGCTGCGTCGTCATCTACTTCCACCAATGCGCCCACCACCAGGGTTGTTCCTAAGAAAATTGGGGTCCTGTACGAAAATTTACATTGGCCCCTTTTTTGTATAATTGTAAATATATAAAAGATATATTGTATTGTACCAAAATATACAATAGTCTATAAAAAAATTTATAATTCAAAATTTCACTTGAAAAGTGACATTCTTCTTCTTCTTCGGTCATATTTAGATGTAAAATTATTCACCAATCCATTGAGTCTTTTTTACAATATAGTTGATCATAAGTAAAATTTCAACAACTTTAACTTTAAAAAACTTCTTTATGCATAAACAACAGTAATGAAAATAGTCAAGACTAATTGATATTGCAATTGTAGTATCAAAATACAAGAAATTAGATTGTTATTCATCAATCAAAAAAATTCCTAGCTAGGGTTAGTTATTGAATTAATAATTTTAAAATTTTGAATAAAATTAAAGAATTAAAATATTTAATTATTTACATACCTTCATCCTTTTTATCGTGAAGAATAAAAAAATTGAGGATGTCAAATGCACAAACAACGCACTTCAAATTAATGATTACTGAGACCGAATTCTTGCGTTGTAAATACAAATCTTGCGTGTATGCATTATAATAGGAATAAGAGTAATTTTTTACTCTTTATATATAATAATTTTTACAATAATCAAATAGGCCCGCATCAATTCCTATAAGTTATAGGATTATAACTCTATACGTAAATCAAGTCCTTAAGAATTAGGAATATAAATTTTAAAAAATTTTAGACCGTCTTGATTTTTTTATACATAAATTATACCTACACTAATATATAAAATATAAATATAAAATAATATTTTTTTAATAAAAGTGTCCTAAAATTTGGGGGCACAATACACATATATACTGTACTAGTACGTATGTAATTTTTGGGGCCCCCAAATTTTGGGGGCCCTGTGCGCTAGTCCTGGCCAGACATGGCCAGGGACGGCCCTGCCCACCACCTGCTCGCTAGGGACTTCGCCGGCGACAGAATCGTCCGACAATACAGTGAACTTCAAATAATATCCCTCAAAATATGCCATACAAGTCACCGGAGGACTAAAATGGTTAAAATTTTAATAGTCGGAGGATTTGATTAGAGAAATCAAAATGAGTAGGACTAAATTGTTGAAATCGACATAGTCGAGGGACCATTTTGGTAATTTGCTCCATATTTAAGTTGCTCATGAGTGTACTTACTGCATTCAATCAACAGATACAGCATGCCGATGGCTTCTGGGCTTCAACCACTGGTGCGTAATAATTATTGCTCATACTTTGCTCAAAAGTGTACTGCATTCATCAACACACGTAATACAAAATCAATAATAAAAAAAAAAACTGAGGAAATGATTAGAATTGAAAAAAGTGCAAAAAGAGATCGACCTGAGGAGTGCGGTCAACAATAGCAAAACCATCATATCCATAAGTGAGCCGTTCTTCTTGGATATTCTTGGCACAAGTCAAAAGGGCAGGCTTACACCTTTCAAAGTCAATTGATTGGAGAGAACTAATGGTTGAGAAAGAACTTGGGATCTGTTTCAATCTGTCACAATACTTGAGGACTAGGCGCTCAAGCATAGGGAACTCATCATCAAAGGCATTCCAAATCTCGAGTTGTGCGTTTTCAAGTTGTAAAAACTTTAATCGACGAAATCCCCCTTCAGTTGGTTTCCACTCCGGCCCATAGAAAGCATCCATTTTTAGTTTGAGAACCTCTAGTCTAGGCAACAAGGCAATTGTTGCTATATTATCCTTCCATGGCAGATAAATCTTGCGTAGATTCAGCTTCCTAAGGTTATCGGGAAGTGCATCTATACTTGGAAGGGACATGCGCTTAGGAATGGGAAACTCAGCTTCAATAGTTAAAACCTCAAACTCATTCAAATAACATAGATTTTTCAAGCTGATAGCACCATTGAAAGACACGCCATCATCATGAATTACTCTATCTTCACAAAAAATCCCTAACGTTTTTACGTTGGGAATCCTAGAAATAACTTCTCTAGTGCAATGAAATATGCTCAACCAATACCAAACTTGCAAGTCCTCTTTCACTATGCCTGGAGGCTCCACTTTAAAGATGTTTCTTCTAAACTCAAGATGTCTTAACTGTGGTGATCCCCAAATTGTGGATGGCAAATGAGAAGAATGCACTTGCCAGTGATGAGGGGCACTATGTGAAACTATAAGTGTTTGCAATTTTTTATTTTTAGACAGTATATTCTTGAGACCCTCGGAGCCAAGAGACCTATCCATCTCAAAAGCCAGGTATCTTAGAAGAACTATAGTGGATAGATGATCTAGGTTGGACAGATTGACTGCCTTGTTGTACAAAGGAGAAGTCAAATCTATAACTATTAACAAGCTGAAGTTTAGAGGTTTGGATCATTGACCATTGGCATTATGACCATTGGCATTATTTCATCTTTTTGCAAACACAAAATGGAGCGGGCTTTACTGTTGCAACAATCAAAATGCTCATCAGACTTTAAATTTGATGATCTAAAACTTAGCCAACGACAAGTATCACAGTTTTTTTTGGAACTGCTGCACATATCAAAAGGCTCAGGTCTAAAACATAGCCAACAAGAAGCACCATGGGGTTTTTTGAAACGACGACTACTGTCGTTGCACATATCAAAACTATTATTGTCTTCAACATACAAAAGTTTTTCATTTGTGGCTTGTCGTACACAAAGTCCACGCAAGAGATCATGCATCCTACACGTCTTGATTTGGCCATCGCATTTAAGCTTATCAATTCGGACTAGACTTCTACTAATAAGATCATGTAAATACCCAACACCCACTTCTTCCAATTCCTTATTCCTCACTGACTTCTTCACAAACCCCTCGGCAATCCATAACCTAACAAGCTTTTTAACAGGAATTTCACTACCTGCTGAGAAAACTCCTAAATATAAAAAGCAAGCTTTCAAATGCTGAGGTAAATGATTATAACTTACAATAAGAATTCTTGAACATTGTTCACCAATATCTGTACTAAAACGATAGCTCATTTCTTCCACAATATTTTCCAATTCTTCAACTTTGCTGAGTTGGGATACAAGTCCAGCAGCTACAACAATTGCCAGGGGAAGCCCCCCACACTTGCCAACAATATTCCTTCCAATTGTGTTGAACTTAGAGTGCAAGGGCTGTTTCAAGACAATGTGACTGCAAAATAGATCCCAACTTTCATTAGAATCGAGATAATGCAAGTTGTGAATAAGATTACTGGCACCTGATTTACTGTAGTCTGCAATCTCTTTTAGCCGAGAGGTCACCAATACTGCACTTCCATGACATTTAGGAAAACATCTTGTGAGATAATCCCAAACACCGGTTTCCCATACGTCATCCACCACAATCAGATACCTTTGACGACCCATCAAATGCTGTCGTAGTTTGTGTGCTAGATCATCTGTGCTTCTGTCAGTATTCGTTCCTCTCTCAATGGACCAAAGAAGGTTGCAGAGAATTTGTCTCAGGTTAACTTCTTGAGAGACAGTAGCCCATGCACGAAGGTCAAAGTGGGATATGACTTGTGGATCTTCGTAAACTCTTTTGGCTAAAGTAGTTTTACCGATCCCGCCCATCCCGAGAATGGAAATGACTTTCCATGGGCGACCAATGAGCTGATTCATTATTGTATTTAATTCACTTGTACGCCCAACCATTCTGTCCTCAATCTTTGAGAACCGCTGTGAAGATCCGCTCTTATGGTCTGAACCAATATCTAACGGAAGGGCATGTACCTATAGAGGAAGAGTTGTAAATTATGAAATGTAATATATATAATACGGTAAGAAAAGACTGTCGTGATACCTTTGGCAAATTTTGGACGGCAAAATTATAGTATTGGCTTTTAATTGTGTTGACGAAGTTTTGAGTTTTTTCGGATACTTGTTGTAGGTTCTGAAAGAGTATCATCTTTGAATCTTCACCTAGTACTTGTTGTAGGTTCTGAAAGAGTATCATCTTTTTATCTGCCGCCTCCATATATATCTTTGCCAGATTTGATTCAACTTCATCTTCTGCTAAAAAGGCAAAGTCTCTGATTTTGGCTTCCAAATCTTTGATTACAGCTTCATCTATCCCTGGTTTCTTCACTAAGTCGTTGAGAAAGGTGAGCAAGAAACCGAGATTATGGTGGAGAGAACTAACCATATGTGCTGTATCTTCATCAAGAATCACAGGTGCTCTGCAGGGTTGTAAGAACTCAAAGTGGATTGTATTCATCAGAGAAGTTAGAGGAACACAAGCCATATCTCTCTCTCTCTGTGTATTTGCTTCAGACGGAGTACAATATTATTTGGGAGAAGAGTAAAACTAGATTAAAATATGATTGAAGGGCGTTAAGATGGAGAAGTCAAAGGTTGAATTCGATCAATTCCCACATGGAGCTAGTACGCGTCTCCATCAGGTTGGTTCCGATTTATAAAACTACTAAATTATAAATTTATTCAGGATTTTCTAAAATTATCACACTCTTACATATGTTTATTCATTATTCCATCAATTATTTTAATAATATAAAGAGGAGGCTAATTAAGTAATTAATATATTATTTATTTATTTTCTTTGAGTGATATATTAAAAGTCAACTTATTACAGGTGAAATTATTGACCTGAGTGAGTTCTACTATACATAAATAAGAATTGATTATTTTCATCACATCAGTCTATAGAAAAGTGTCTATATTAAAAATTTGTAAAAGTAAAAATTGGTAGTATAAAATGAAAGTTCACCAAGTATTTTAATTGTTAAGTGAGCAAAATTAGGAGTGATATCATTTTGATAGTTGTTGGAACAGTTTTAGTCACAAAACTTTATGTTCATCATTGCTCAATTCTTCAACTCTTGCGGTACATTTGGACATAAAATATTTGAAAAGAAATGAAATAGAAATTTTGTGAAAAAACAAATTATCACGAAGATTTATTTCTTTGTTTGTTTAGTGGGGATAAATACTCACTAATACAAATATGACTACAAAAATTGAACAATATGCCTCTATCGTGACAAAATCAGACACCTAAAATAACGCCATGACAGTTTTATAATTAAAATGGTCATCATTAAATTCGTCTTTTTTTTTTTTTTTTAAATAGGTAGACTATGCGTGTGTTGTACGTAAACAACAAACGCATAGTTGGAGCGTTATGCTGTGCATCATGCACCATGCATGGTACATACGGATGCAAAAACGACGTCGTTTTGGCATCTAACTTAAAAATAAAAATAAAAAAATTCAGAATTTCATAACTACACATCCATAATTTCACTACACTTCCATAATTTCATAACTATACATCCAGAATTGCATAACTACACTTCTAGAATTGCATAACTACACTTCCAGAATTGCATAACTATAATTCCAGAATTGCATAACTACACATCCATAACTTCATAACTACACATCCATAATTGAATAACTACACTTCCAGAATTGCATAACTACACTTCCAGAATTTCATAACTAAAAAATCCAAAATGAATGAACTAAAAATGAATAACATAATGTTGTTGCTGGGAATCGAAACTGATTTTTTTTTTAATAAGTAGGGCACGCGTTTTATGCAAAACGACGTCGTTTTTGCATCCGTATGCACCATGCAGGGTGCATACGGATGCACAGCATAATTTGCCGGCATAGTCCTTCGATTTTATAAAATTAATTAAGTATTTGCGTCTAGTATATTTGTATACCGGATAGATGCAAAAATAGGTTGCTTATTTTTTTATTTTAATTTAGTGAAAACCTGTGTCTGGTATATATATAATAATACCAGACGCCAAAAATTAGGGTATTTGTAATCTCATCAACACTTAGCTAAATTTAAATTCCAGTACTCCACGCTCCCAGCTCCTTGGCTTCCATCGTCCGCATTCTACACTGTCTCCATCGTTGCCCTAGACGGCCTCCAACCCCGTGTCATCGTTGGCCGGTGTTCTTCTTACAACAGTGGTCGTCGCCAGCGTTATGCTGTGCAACCGTGTGCACCATGTAAGATTATACTTTAGATTTATAATTTCTATACTATAGATTCATAATTTCTATACTATATATTCATAATTTCTATATTATAAATTCATAATTTTTATACTATAGATTCATAATTTCTATACTGCAGATTCATAATTTTTAAACCGTAGATTCATAATTTAAATTCAATAGATTCATAATTTCTATACAGTAGATTTATAATTTCTATACTCTAGATTCACAATATCTGTACTGTAGATTCATGATTTTTGTACTGTAGATTCATAATTTATAAACTGTATAGTTATCAAATTATGAACATATAATTCTGTGATTTGTGAATACAGAGTTCAACAATTAGAATATGAGCATTGAAAATTATGAACATAGAGTTCTGTAACTGTGAATATAGAGTTCAATAATTATGAATCTATTGTATAGAAATTATGAATCCAATTCCGTGTGCACCATGCATAGTGCACACAGTTGCACATGCAGCATAATTTGCCGTCCCCAGCATCGCCTTTCTTCGTACAACAGAGGTCACATCCAACTCGTCTCATCGTCGCACGCAGCCCGCAAGTCTCCAAGGTTGCCGGTCGTTCTTCCTCAAAGGTCGTCGGTCACAAAATAGGTAAGTCACCTTTGTGATTTTATTTTATTTATTTCTAATATATTTTACAAGTTTTCCAATTTATTTTAAATTAGATCAATTGTATATTATGTATATATACTAGCTAGTCATTGTTGCAAAAAAATTGTCAAATAAACAAAAATAATTGTCAAAGTATATAAACAAAACAAACAAAAATTACATAATCTTATAACTATTATGAGAAAAAAATTATAAAAGATAATATAATTAATTGTGTATTATGTATATACATACTAGTCATTGTGTGATAAAAAGGTCCAATAAACAAAAAATAATTGTCAAAATATATAAACAAAATAAACAAAAAATTACATAATCTTATAACTATATATTATGAGAAAAAATTATAAAAGATAATATAATTAATTAATACATTAACTTATCAGTAAAAAATAAAAAATTAGAAATACTTCGGTAGTGTACAAGAAAACGAGTATAACATATAAATAATTATTGTAATTGTACAACAATAAAAGCACAGAGTATAAGTTTGTAGTACAATATATTACACCAACACATATTTTATTCCCTTTAAGAGTTAACAAGTATAAATTTTCTATTCTTAAGATAGATTATAATTTTAAGTAATGCTTAGATTATAACTATAATAAACTAACTCATTTCTAATATCTTAAATGTTATTTTGAAATACATCCATCCTCAATTATACATCTCCTTCGTAATTAAATTATAAATTTATTAATTGGCAGATTTATTATGCGACAAATGACAATAGAAGATAGGGATCGGAGTTGGATGTATAAGGGAACGTTATGCTGTGAGCACGTGCCACCTTACAATTCCCTTGCACGTCGTGTGTGTTTGCTCAGGATTTCATAAAAAGATGTAGGGGAAAGTGGAATGTGGTGTGGCATTAACTACTCCTCTAATTGTACATAGTGGTGGATCATCATGTCCATTATACCATGCCAGCCTTGGATCTTAGGCATGAACAGCACCTTCAATCTCTAAATCCTTTGCAGATGGAGATATTTGAAGGCTTATTTCATTAGTATGTTTTTTGGGTTTTGGTGAACATTGTATACTTTCATCTTTCATCCAGTGAAATCAATGAAGTATTCACTTATGGCGTCCATTTCTTCAAGAAACAAGGCTCTTAGATATATATTTAAAATTTTCTAATATTTGGTTCTCCCTACATTTCCATTCAACATACACAATTCCTTTCAACATACACAATCAAATTCACTCCAACAATAATATAAATAATCCATCTATAGTATATCTTAACTAATAATCCATTACTACATCAATCAATAATATAAATAAATATCAATATTATAACACAATTTTTGAAATGGTAGCTCCATCCACAGAAATTAGCTGCCGCAAATCCAAACCTCATGTTGCATTCCTACTCTTTTTGCAGTAGTGCTATCATAGTTGAGCTAGATTTGGTGTCTAGTTCATCTGGTTCATCTGTTTGTTGCAGAATCTGCCTTGAAAACGAATTAATTGAATATCATATTGCATTTGCTATACTTTAGTACATGTCATACACATTGTTTTCATTTACCCTAACTCTTCTCTTACATGTTGGTGATGAACTCTGTTAGGAACACTTGTATTAGGATTTTGATGATACCAATGTAACCTAGAATGTAGACCCTAACCTTCTTTATTTTTAATCGCTGCTTTCAATCGAGACGAAAGACGCCATAACTCGCATTGTAATCCGTGTTAAGCTAGACAAACACACAAAGACGAGTTATGTTATTTAGTTAGGGCTATCAAGAAGAAAAGACACACAAAGCACGAAGACTGAATCATCTACAACGAAAGTTCATCAAAGGTTATCAACCACCTCGAAGAGACAGCTATCATTACGACGATTCATCAAGACATTCATTATCTTTTAACAACAAAAGGAATGACTCTACTGTCTGAGTTGACTAACCATCCTAGGAACAAAAGGACCTCAACATGTGGGACACGCATACCAAGGAGCATTTAATGAAACTGTACCATCCTTGAAGCTAAAAGACAAAACCCTAAGGCTATCCATGCCCTCAACGGTTACATGGTACAAACCACATTAATGGAGCATTTAATGCAACAAGCTCCCTGGTCCGTACCCACTGGATAATAGGTTTGAAATTTCATCTCCCTCCAACGGATGAAATTTCCCTCACCTATATAAACCCACCTTCATCAACTAAGAAGGTGCTGGTTCTTTTCACTCGATAATACTCTCGGGCAAAAAGCTCTTAAGCAATCTCAAAGTTCTCATCAAGCTTTTTGTGAACCAGTGTCAAGGCGTGAAGATATTTTAAGGAGCATGTGCTGCGCAGATGATACCGAAACCAAAAGTTCAACTCACCTCTGAAGAAAGAAAAAGGGCAAACTTGGACAATGTACCACGAAACATTCTCTACAACTCTCTCAACGGCTCCTTGTTCCCCAGAGTCCGAAAATGCAAAAATGCCATGGAGATCTGGAATGTTCTGATGAACTTAGGTGAAGGAGATGAACATGAGAAGGACAACAAACTGACAGTGGCCATGAAAAAGTTCGAGGACTTCAAGATGTTGCCAAATGAAGCTGTCACGGACATGGAACTAAGATTCACCAGACTCATGGGTGATCTGACAAATCTCGGGAAGGAATTGACTGAGAAAGAAAAGAACCTGAAGATTCTTCGCGGTCTGCCGAAGTCTTGGGAAATGAAAGTTATTGCAATGAGAGATAACTGAGACATGAAGATCACGAGCACAACCAAAATCTTCAGTGATCTTAAGGCTTACGAGTTCGAGCATGAACCGAAGGATGCTGAAGAACCTGAAACAAGAAACATAGCTCTCGTGGCCAACCAGCAAGCATCAACATCTAACAGGTCAAAACCTAACCCTTGTGAATTTCTATCTGACGAACAATTTGCCTTATTTGTTAGGAAGATGAAGAGGTTTATGAGGAAGAACAACTTCCAAGACTCTCAACGTTCGGGACACCGAAAGCAGCACGAGAGTTCACCTCAGATCTCAAAGCCAGAAACTTCAGACTCGCAATTGCTGTGCTACAACTGTCGGAAGCCAGGACATTTCAAGGCAAACTATCCTCATCCAATTGTGAGCAAGCACCAAGACGGCAATGCTACCAAAAGCTCATCAAAAGAAGCTGGAGAAAACTACAAAAGAAATGATAAGCCATAATCAACGAACTCCAGAAACGAAAGAAGAAGAAAAGCCATGGTAGTTAACGAACCATCTGACACTGCTGAAGCCGAAAGCAGTTCCTCAAGCTCGAGTTCAGAGGACGAAAGTTCCGAAGAAGAAAAAGGGCTGCTATGTCTGTTTAGCCAAGAGTCAGAAGAGCTATGCCTTATGGCCGATGATGATGAGGTAAATTCCCAATCATCCTCCTGTTATTCAGCAGAGTCGAGTTCTGTAGGAAGTCAAACCTCCAATGAATCAGTCACCGAAATGATGAGGAGGTTCAAGATAATTGAAAACACATACTCTAAACTAAAGGAGGAGAACTCTCAGCTTATGATTAGCTACAATGTGTTAAGGCAAGTTCGAATTGAGAACATAAAGCTAACCATTGCTAAGAAGCATCTTGAGGAAAATGTTCTCGCTCTAAAAGAGCAGTGTACAGAAAGAGAAAAGAGAGAGCAACAATTACATGAGGTCTTGAATAAATTCAACAATTCGTCCAACTTAATGGACCAAATGTTGAACGAATCTAGACTGCCTGGGGAAAAAACGGGAATTGGTTTTGACCCCTGCTCCTCTTCACAAATCGGCTTGAACAAATCCACCAATGCTTATTCTCATGAGAGCTTTCAATCAGCATTTGTTCAAGGCCCCACCCAGGTGTCTGAGCCTATGACGAAAGTTGACAATGTCGCCATACCACAATCAACAAGCCAACCGAAAGGAAGAGCTGTACAACGAATTGTGGATCCTAGAAATGAAAGATCTTTCAAAGGCAATCCTAGACAAAAATATGTCAAAAGGAATGGACCAAATGGTAATAGACAAAATCTAAACCATATGAAAGGTCAGCCTTACAAGAATATTCAATCAAGGAATAGGCCAAATGTTAACCAGAGGCAGTATCGTCCAAAACCAGCACAAAAGAACCCTGATCAAGGAATCCCGAGAAATGGACGAATCAGACAAAACGAAAGATCCTTCAAAAGATCTGGTTATGGCAATGGATGGACTGGGCCATCAAAGGAAGATTGGTTTGATTACCCAGAACCTCTATCAAGAGCTGGATTTGAGATAATTCATCTGCGTAAACAAAACAATTATTCCAAGTATTATGAAAATCCTCCTGAAGAATATTTTCACGAGAGGTATAATGCTAAAACCTTTGCCAGTATCCATTATGATTACCACACATCTAATGGGTATAGAGGACCAAGGATGAGTCGAGGAAACTCTAGGTTCATGTGGATTCCAAAGTTGACATCTAACCCTCAAGGACCCGAAACTCAAGGGGTACCTAAAAATACATAATCTTTCTTGTAGGACAAACAAGTCATATGGTATGTCGATAGTGGCTGCTCAAGACATATGACTGGTGACAAAACAATGTTGAGCAATTTCAAAGAAGTCGATGGACCGAAAGTCATCTTTCGAGGTGAAACTAGTGGCAAAACTCGTGGAACAGGAGACATCATCAAAAGAGGAATAACCATCAAAGATGTATCATATTTTGAAGGGCTAAAATTCAATCTTCTGAGCACAAGTCAATTCTGTGACAAAGGCTACAAAGTCGAATTCTCCAAGGACAAATGCAAGATCGTCAACACGAGAGATGGCGAAATCGCCTTAACTGGCCAACGGAAGAAAAATATGTACGTAATCTCGTGGAATTCTTCTAACGCTAACGTTTGTTTTGTGGCTAAAAATAGTGTAGATCTAAGTCAAGAATGGCACAACAAGTTGAGTCATCTAAATTTGAAAACCATCAACAAGCTAGCTAAACAAGATCTCGTGAAAGGATTACCTAAAGCCTCATACATAAAAGACAAGATCTGTGAAGCATGTCAAAAGGGAAAACAAATCAAATCATCTTTCAAATCCAAGGATGTGGATACAAACTCTCGTTCTCTAAGTCTCCTACATATGGATCTCTTTGGACCCGTTGATCCAGCAAGTCTAAGTGGAAGAAAGTATACTCTCGTAGTAGTAGATGATCACACGAGATATGCTTGGGTGCTCTTCTTGAAGAAAAAGAATGAAACAGAAATCGTTCTTCCAAATCTTTTGAGACAACTACAGACAGAAAAGGAGGTCAAAATCATTCGAAGTACCTTTGGTTGCAGGTGCTTTATTCACAACAATGGGAAAAGTCATATGGAGGCCTTCGACGAAAGAGCGGACGAAGGATTGTTCATGGGTTACTCATCAGTAAGTAAGGCCTTTAGAGTCTTAAACAAGCGAACAATGGTTATCGAGGAATCCATACATGTCAAGTTTGACGAACAGTCTGAGAAAAATCCAGTTGGCATTGAATCATCTGCCAATCCAAGTCAAAGCTCTCAAGAACCAAATGAAGAAGAAGCCTAAGATGACGAAGACATCTTATCTTCCTACACGAAATATCAGTTGAAGATTTCTGAACCCGAAGCTACAACTCAAGTTAATAATGGAGTACAACAAAATATTCCAGATATTCAAGCACCATTTGAACCTATGATCTATGTTCAACTACCTTATATCCCTGAAATGGATGTACAAAATCAGTAAAATGCTCTTGAACCCGATCTTAGATGGTTAAGAGATCATCCTCCTTATCAAGTAATTGGAAACGTTCAAGAAGGAGTAAGAACAAGAGCATCTCTGCATGAAAACATGATGGCTTGTTTCCTATCACAAATGGAACCAAAATCCATAGAAGAAGCTTTAAATGATCCTGACTGGGTAATAGCCATGCAAGAAGAGCTTCATCAATTTGAACGAAATGATGTTTGGGAACTTGTCTTGAAACCAACACATCAAAATGTCATTGGAACCAAATGGGTCTTTAGAAACAAAATGAGTGAAGATGGACTCATTGTTAGGAACAAGGCTCATCTTGTTGCTAAAGGTTACTGTCAAGAAAAAGGAATCGATTTTGATGAAACCTTCTCCCCCGTAGCACGACTTGAAGCTATACGAATATTTCTTGCATATGCAGCATACAAAGACTTCAAAGTTTATCTAATGGATGTCAAAAGTGCTTTCCTAAATGGACTTCTTGAAGAAGAAGTATATGTTGAGCAACCACCTGGATTTGTAGATGACTGTGGACAAGCAAATGTCTACCATCTCAAAAAGGCACTATATGGATTAAAACAAGCTCCACGAGCTTGGTATGATACACTCTCACATTTTCTTATCAACTGTGGTTTCACGAAAAGAGCCGTAGACAAGACGCTCTTTCGTATCAAAGATAATGATCATATTCTCTTGGTACAAATCTATGTTGATGACATCATTTTCGGGAGCACGAATCCTGTTCTATGTGAAAAGTTCTCAACTCTCATGCAAGGCAAATTTGAAATGAGCATGATGGGAGAACTAAACTACTTTCTGGGATTGCAAGTAAAGCAATGCTCAGATGGAATTTTTATTAGTCAAGCCAAATACACTAAGGATCTAATCCGGAAGTTTGGCATTGATGGAAAAACATCCGTCAAGATCCCTATGAGCACATCTCTTAGAATGGATATTGATAATGAAGGAAAAGATGTGGATCAAAAGAACTTTCGTGGGATTATCAGATCACTCCTATACCTAACAGCAAGCAGACCTGACATTTCGTTTGCTGTTGGGGTATGTGCTAGATTTCAAGCTAAACCAAAAGAAAGTCACTTAAGTGCAACCAAAAAGATCTTAAGATACCTTAAAGGGACACAAAGCGTTGGACTTTGGTACCCGAAAGAAGGATCCTTCGATCTTGTTGGTTATTCGGATGCCGATTTTGCTAGTTGCCGAATTGATCGAAAAAGCACCTCGGGAACCTGCCAGTTCCTAGGGGGGAGACTTGTGTCTTGGTTCAGTAAAAAGCAACACTCCATTGCTACCAGCACGGCTGAATATATAGCAACTAGAAGTTGCTGTGCCCAAATTCTCTGGATGACTCATCAGTTAAAGGATTATGGCATAAATGCACGAGAAGTGAGCATCAAATGTGATAACACTAGTGCAATTGCCATCACACACAATCCTGTTTTGCATTCACGAACTAAACATATTGATATTAAATATCATTTCATTCGTGATCATGTTGAGAGAAAAGATATATCTCTTGAATATGTCAATACTGATGATCAGCTTGCGGATATTCTCACAAAACCCTTAAGTGAAGCAAGATTCTCTACTCTAAGACATGAAATCGGGATGATTGAGATGGCATAAAAATCTGGGAATCAAATCTGCAAAGATTCTCACAATATTCTTATAGAATCTCCTCGATATACTCATCATAAAGATTTGGTTCACTCTCACACGCAAGATCTCTATAAAAGGGGAGATTATACTGTCACCAAATCCACACTAACCCATCTTTTGAGTAAGACATCTAGATTTTGTCTTTGATTGTGCAGGAATGAGTACAGGAAGTGAAGCAAAAATGACAATCACAGATAAGAGAAAAGATGAGACTGAAATCTTCCATGATCATCTAGTTGATGAAGGGACACTAAACAAATTTCTAGCAAGTTCACAACATATCCAAAACCTCCTTTGTGAACCAACGG